TTTATTTATTTAATTACCTCGAACCTTGTAATACTTTGGAGTATTACACAAGGGAGGGTTATGAATATAATTTGACAATTTTATAAAAGCATAACAAAAACAGTGAAACAAAGCATGGTACGCTCATACAAGGAAGACAGGTAAGTTTTCAGTCCCCAATACCGATCAAGGGTTAATTTATATAATTTTTAAAGGCACTGAACATTTCATAAAATTTAGCGGTTTCAGTTTTTGTGACAATCTCATCTGTCAAGAAAGACTACTCGGCAATTGCAAGCTATAGTGTGGAATTAGCGAAATACGAAGATGAAGCATGACTGAAGTTAACGTTAAACACACACTGCCCACTCTCGCAGCGTCGGGGGTGTTCAGAAGAGCCGTTTTTATATGGGGGTTGCGTTGATATATCTTACGAAGAAAGAGCAGTTTGGAGGGCCTACGAAGTATACGGAAAGGGTTCCTGAGGCCTGGACGATTGCGAGGGGACGAGACGCTGGTATATAAAGAATAGCCTGCAAATATTTAGGTTAATAGAGGCTCTCTACTTCGTGAATGGGATTATTTTGTTATGGCCACCATATTGATGAGGCATATTCTAGTTTAAATCTTACCGTGGTTATGTTGGGTACATTTTTTTTTGTTTTTTTGTTTATATTATGCGAATTTTAGGTTACATCCTAGATAGCCAATTCTGCAGGCAGTCTTCAAAACAACTTCTTTAATGTAACTGTTTCGTGTGAGGTAGGGGGTGAGGTGAAGTCCTAAATATTTATCCGAAGTACAGTGAGCAATGCTAATGTTGCCAAAATGGTAAGAAAAACTATATTTTCTTACCAAAATGGTAAGAAAAAGCACGAGCATGGATGACATAACATTTACACCAAACGGAGTAGCAAACGTCATCGAACGTTTGCGTGCAAATTCGGCTTGCGGGGACGATAACATCACCTCTAACTTTCTCAAAATAACGAAAGACAAAATATCAATTATCTTGTGCCGCCTTTTTCAAGCTTCACTTGATTTGTCTGAATTACCGCTCGATTGGAAAGTTGCAAAAGTCATCCCTGTACATAAGCATGGAAACCGCAATGACCCTTCAAATTACAGACCCATCTCTCTGACAAGCATACCATGTAAAATATTCGAACATGTCATCTACTCTCAAGTCATGGACTATCTTAACAACTTTAGCTATCTTCACCCTCAACAACACGGCTTTCGCAAACATCTTTCCTGTGATACTCAGTTATTTGAATTCGTAACAGATCTCCACGATAACTTTAACGACTCTTATACTACTGACGCAATTTTCATTGATTTCGCTAAAGCCTTTGATACTGTCCCTCATCAACGCTTACTTCTAAAACTTTCTCAATTAAACATAAATGACAAAATCGTCAGTTGGATCTCATCATTTCTCACCAATCGTAAGCAGTATGTATGTATAGATGACACGTCCTCGCCCGCCATTACAGTTAAATCCGGAGTTCCACAGGGCAGCGTCTTAGGTCCACTTTTGTTTCTCATCTACATAAACGACTTACCTTCACTAATCTCGTCATCAGTAAGGCTTTTTGCTGATGACTGTGTACTGTACCGCCGAATTTCTCATCCTAGCGATTCGGAACTCCTTCAACGCGACATCGACATCTTGGGTGAATGGTGCTTAACATGGCAAATGAACATAAATGTTACTAAAACCAAGCTCGTTTCTTTTAATTCCTCAAAACACCACAATCCCTCGTACTCAATTTTTTGCGATCCTATTTTATCTACTCATTCATACAAGTACTTAGGTATCACTTTTACCGATGATCTAACCTGGAATGCCCATATCGAAAACATCGTTAATACATCATTAAGAACTCTGGGATTTCTGAGAAGGCATTTATACCTTGCTCAACAGGACGTGAAACTTACTGCATATAAAACCCTCGTTAGATCGAAACTTGAATTTGCTAGCACCATATGGGCTCCTCATCAACTTTACCTCATTAATAGACTAGAATCAGTCCAGAATAAGGCCGTCCGCTTCATTCATCGAAACTACAGTACGAAAATCAGTGTCTCCCAACTAAAGGTTCTTTCTAATTTAACTTCTCTTGAATCACGTCGGACAGTCGCTCGCCTTACTCTTTTTCATAAGTTTTATTACAACATGCCATCATTCATGCTCACTCACTGTAAGCCTGCCTCATACATTTCTTTGCGTCATGATCATTCCTTAAAAATTGCACCTATGTTCGGTCGCACTAATAGATACAAATACTCTCCTCTTGCTCTGTCCATTAAAAATTGGAATTCTCTCCCTAACGACATAGTCACTGAACAGAACGAAATAATATTCCGCGAAAAAACTTCGGCTTTGGTTCCATGATATGTTTTCCGCGCCATGTCTGCTTGTGTTTACTATATATTGCACACTGTGTTCCCAGTTCTGCTGTGCCCGGTTTGTGTAAACTTTGTTCCGAATCCTGTATAGTTCGTTCTTTGTTTTTGCTTGTTGTTAATTTTTCACCTCAGTTAGTTCTTTGATTGCCATTCCATCTTGCATTTGATTGTATTTTTCTACCCCCCCCCCCCCCCTCATGTAATACGTTCGAACGAACGTCTTTGAGGCGAATAAAACTTGAACTTGAACTTGAACTATATGCGATGGTATTACGAGTGAATGTTAGTAAATTGCATTTTTCAATGTTGAGGATCGTCTGCCGGTTATGGCACCACTGCTCGAATATGTACCGGGTGCTGTTCTTTTTTTTTTTTTTTTTTCTTTTTTTTTTTTTATTTGAAAATATTTATTACAAAACGAATTCCGTAAAAGATGCACTAATACGGTTTGTTCAGGTCGAGTTATACGGCCAGAGGGACATTAATTGTGTGGGTGGCTAATCTTTACGATAAGTCGGCTAAATAATTAAAATTCGTTAATTAACTTTTAATTAGTTAAAGTATACATATGATATCAATTACAACCCTACTGAGCGTCATAAAAACCATCGAATCAACTCTTTTTAGAACGACTTGAAGCTCGTGGGAAATTCGGGGGCGCGCCAAAGTTACCACTCGTGAAGCAGGCGCAAAGCCAGCAGTGGCGGAACGTGATAACGATCTAATTATCCGCGTTCCGCCGCTGCTGGCTTTGCGCCCGCTTCACGAGTGGTAACTTTGGCGCACCCCCGAGTTCGGAAAACTAATCCACTCCATTAATGAGTGGAATAGGTTGCCGAAGGGTATATTGTGGACTAATTTTCACAATGTGGTTTGGTATCGTTTTCCAACTTGTGTTTGATTGAGAGTGCCTTTAAGGAGGGGTCACACTGCTTATACATCATACAAAAAACAGTCTGCAAACACGAGCCACCGCAATACCCGTGGTTCGAATGCCGCGTGCCATGTTTCTCCTATAACTCATTGCCATGCGGCATTCGAAGCACGGATCTCGCGGTGACTCGCCATCGAATCTGTATCCAGACTGTATTTTCTATGGTCGTTAACTACAAAGAGTTTTTTTCCAATCTTTGATATTATTAGCAATGTGCGCGGCCAAAAGCGTCGCTGTGGTCAGCTTTCCACGATTGGCCAAACCATGGGCATATGAGCACTGTCAGATTGTCAACTTTGACGGTGTTAGTTTCGGATTGCGATGGCTCCTAGCTTCTACTCTGCTTTTTAAACACACCATCGAACTCGTCGTCGCACCCGATGGTAAGTAGCCAGAATAGCAACGGGTGTTGAATAATTAGTGCAAAAGAAGAAGAAGATGTAACAAGAAGATATATAGACGACGACGAGAACGGAGGAATCGATGGTGACTCCGGCAGCAACTGGAACGAGCATGTAAATATTGTACATAAACCCTTTCTTCTTAACGAACTCGCTACATTTAATCCTCTTAACGAAGAAAAGTAACATAAATTTGGTGCCGAAACCCGGGAGTAGCTGAGTCAAGGAAAGGCAAAAAAAGGCTTGGAACATCCATCGTAAAACCCAACGATCACCCGGGTGGACTTACCTCAACGAAAATGGATCAACTGACGCCAGCCGCCATCGAACAACTTAAAAGAAGAAGAACCGTGATTCGATCGGCGACCACCAGGATCATTTCCGAAATCGTCACTCTTCTAGGCATGGAACCAACGTCCATCGGGGAGCTGGAAGAAAGGCCTAACATCTTGATACTCAAAGAATCTGCGTTAAAAGAGATCGACGGTCAGATTGAGAGAGCCATCATCGATGACACGCTGGAACAGGAGATGGTAAACGCAGAAGGTTACGCCGAAAGAATTAGCTCAACGAAAACAAAAGTCCTACGGAAACTAAAAGAGCATGAACGAATGACTAACATGACGTTGGACACCTCAATGCCAGGCGCAAGTTCAAGACCACCACGGCCCATCAGTCAAGAACACGCAACGGTCAAACTTCCAAAGCTGGAAATTGCAAAATTTACGGGTGACATACGGTCATGGCAAGGTTTCTGGGACCAGTTTGACGCTACAATCAACCAAAATGTCTCTCTGTCTGAAATTGACAAGTTTAAATACCTGAAAAGTTACCTTACAGCTAAAGCTGCTACAGCAATTGAGGGGTTACAACTGACAGGTGAAAACTACACCGTTGCACTGGACCTCCTGAAAACAAGATTCGGGAAAAAAGAGCTCATCGTAGAAGAACACATGTCACGATTACTGGCAGTGAGAACAGTCAGTAACTCTCACAACGTGGAGGAGCTCAGGTTGTTGTATGACGAAGTTGAGACAGGAGTCCGAAGCCTTGAGGCGCTTGGTGTCTCTTCAAACACGTACGGGACACTCCTACTAACAGTCCTGCGAAAGGCTGTGCCATCAGACCTCGAACTAGAATATCATCGAAAAACAACACCGGAAGCGACAAACGAAGGCAACGAACTAAAAAAGTTTTTGAACTTCTTGAAAAGCGAAATCGAAAGTCGAGAGCGGACTCAGCATGGAAACCAAAGAGTCCAACCAACTGCCAGTATGGCCAGTTCTTCAACTTGGAGGAACGAACGACCTAGACGATATCCTCCTTCGACAGCTATGTTCGCGACAGGAACGAACACCAACGAAAATCAGTGCCTGTTCTGCGGATCAGCTGACCATATAACTGCCAACTGTTCGGTGCGCATGCCCCTGGACAAAAAAAAAGAAGTCCTGAAAGGGAACAATCGTTGCTTTCGATGCACTAAACCTAACCATTGTGCGAAGAATTGCAAAAGCGCAAGGTGGCTAAAGTGTGATAATTGTTCCAGAAGACATGCAACAACGATGTGCGACCCGAATTACAATGTATTGGAAAAGCAAACTCTGAACAAGCCCTTAATAAGAAGTAACAAAGCAGTCCCTACCGGAAATCTGCTCCAGTCCTCTCTAAAGGCAACTGATAAGGAAAACAGAGGGCCTTGCCAAGTGCTTCTACAAACAGCAAAAGCGTGGGCCGAAGGAGAAAGAGACCGTGCGTTCGTTCGGCTCCTGATTGACGGTGGAAGTCAACGCACTTTTGTTAGAAAGGACATCGCGGAGAAACTTCACCTGAAGGTTCTCGGAGAGGAAGACTTGAACATATTTACCTTTGGAGAAGGCGCACCAACTGCTCCAAGAACATGTCGAAGAGTTGAACTATGGCTGCGCAATCAGTACAGCAGAAAAGACGTACGCATTGAAGCTTTAGAGGTCCCACAGATTTGTGCCGACATCATTGCCGCACCACCAGAGGTAGCGCTGAGCATACCTGAAGACATGCTCATTGCGGATAGCGCTTTCAGCAACAACGAATGTGAGAAAGGCATCAGCCTTCTAATCGGAGCTGACTATTACTGGGAAGTAGTAAGTGGAAGTGTAAAGCGCTTGGAAAAAGGGCTGATGGCCGTCGACACTATCTTTGGCTGGACTCTACAAGGTCCCGTGCCCTCAACTTCGTCTACTGCTATATACTCATCGATCACAGGAGTATTGAAAGTGACTACAGCTGACATAACTGACATATCTGCACAGCTGCGGTCATTCTGGGAACTGGAACACATTGGGATAACTGCAAAAGAGTCGCCGACCAAAGGAAATCTACTGTTCGAAGAATTTGAGAGCAAAGTAATATATAAAGAAGGACGTTATGAAGTTTCTCTGCCATGGAATGATCAAGTTGACGAGCTGAACGACAACAAGGAGAATGCAAAAAGAAGACTTAGGTCGTTAACCGCACGCCTCATGAAAAACAGAGCGTTTATGATGGACTACGACACCACCATTCGGGAATACTTTGTAAATGGCTTCGCAGAAAAGGTCGTAAATACAAAGGAAGCCGGCAATCCCGCATATTACATGCCACATCAAGCAGTTGTGAGACAAGACCGACAAACAACAAAGTTACGGGTTGTCTTTGACGCGTCTTCTAGCACCGCTGGGGAACTTTCTCTGAACGACGTCTTGTCCAGCGGAACAAACTTAAACCCTGACTTGATCGATTTACTGATCGCGTTTCGTACACACAACATCGCAGTAACAGCTGACATCGAGAAGGCATTTTTGCAAGTCACCTTGGCGGAGCAAGACAGAGACGCATTACGTTTCTTGTGGTATGACAGTACACCCAAACAAGGACATCAACTACCACAAGTAGTAACGTGGAGAATGACCAGAGTTCCCTTTGGAGCAACATCAAGTCCGTTTCTCCTGGCGGCCACGGTGAGACACCATTTAGACCTAATGGAAGAAGAATTTCCTCAAACCACGAAGATTTTAAAGGACCACCTGTATGTTGATGACCTAATAACGGGCGCGGAAAATTTGAAAGAAGCAGAAGTCCTCTGCAGAGAAGCAAGGGAGATAATGAAGAGGGCAGGAATGAAGCTTCGGAAGTGGAAGTCAAATAGTCCAATATTATTAGATGAATTGACGAAAGAAAGTTCCGCCCAAGAGGAACTAATCGAACTGGTTGGTCCAACGAAAGTTTTAGGTGTTGGTTGGGAAACACGGACAGACATGATCAAAGTCGATCTCACTTCTCTCATCAACTTCCTGTGCTCAAGAGAGGACAGCAAACGCTTTGTGTTGCAAGCGTCATCTCGCATTTTCGATCCAATGGGACTACTGGCTCCTGCAATAATCACTGTAAAAATTTTATTTCAGCAGCTATGGGAGCGAGGAGTTGATTGGGATGAGACATTACCTGCTGACCTTTACGAAGAGTGGGACGCATGGTGTAAAGACCTCACTGCACTAAAAAACATCGCGGTCCCAAGACTCATTGCTCTCGACTTTTCCAAAGACGAAACAGAAAAGGCGTTACATGTCTTCTGTGACGCAAGTACAAGAGCATATGGAGCTGTAGCATACCTGACATCGAAAGAACAAAATGGGAAGAGGGTGGCTCTAATAATGGCGAAATCGAGAGTGGCACCCCTCAAACGGTTGACTCTTCCGCGACTAGAGCTCATGGGGGCATTAATAGGCGCTCGACTGACGCAGTTCCTCACGAGCAAGTTGAAGCTAGAAGGACTTCCAGTATATCTGTGGACGGACTCTACGATTGTCCTGTATTGGATTCGTGGTTCAACAACCCGGTGGAAGCTATTCGTAGCAAATCGAGTCACGGAAATCCAAGCTCTGACGGAACCAAGGAACTGGAGGCATTGCCCTGGTACAGAAAATCCAGCAGACCTCCTAACACGGGGACTTATGCCAAAGTCTCTAGTACAGAGCAAGACATGGTGGAATGGACCAATCTGGTTGCATCGCTCCGAAACATCATGGCCGAGTCAAATTCAGGGCAAACCAGAAGGCAATGAATACCTCGCGGAAGAAAAGAAAGAGACTATTATACAACTCACAGTACCTCAAGATAATCAACTGGTGAGCTTGGAAGACTACAGTTCATTTATCAAGTTGATTCGGGTGACGGCGTGGATAAAACGGTTTATAAACAACGTAAAACAACAAGGCCAACGAAGTGGTCTCCTCACGAGCGAGGAAATTATAGAAGCTGAAACATTCTGGATAAAAACAACACAGAATGAGACCTTTTCAATGGAAATCAAACTCTTGCGAGACCAACGACAAGTTCAGAAGACTTCAAAAATCAAGATGCTTAACCCAAATATAGACTGTGATGGGATCGTAAGAGTTGGTGGCCGATTGCAATTTAGCGGCAACGAAGAAGAAGTGAAACATCCCATTATTTTACCTGCAGAGCACCGATTCACCTTCCTTCTCATCGCTGAAGAACATCGTCGACTGCTGCACGCCGGAGTTCAAGACACGTTGACGCAAATACGTGAAACCTATTGGGTTCTAAGGGGAAGGCAAGCCGTAAGAAAGGTCATACGTCGCTGTATAACTTGCCAAAGGCAAACTTGTGCACCAGCCTCCGAGCCTGTAGCTCCACTACCGGCAGACCGAGTATTAAGGTGCGAACCGTTTGAAAAAACAGGGGTGGATTTTGCTGGGCCGCTTATCTGTCGACGTGACTGCGGAAGCTACAAGGTTTACATCGTCCTGTTTACCTGTGCCGTGACACGTGCTGTGCACCTCGAACTGGTGAGCGACCTAACGACAACAGCATTTTTATTGGCATTCACACGATTCGTGGCACGCAGAGGTATCCCGAAAACGATTTATTCCGACAATGCCTCAACGTTCAAAAGAGCAGCCAAAGACATCCAGAGATTGTTTGAATCGATAGAAGGGGAGGAAGTGCAAACGTACTTTGCAAACCATAGAATTAGATGGAAAACGTACGTAGCGAGAGCTGCCTGGTGGGGTGGGTTTTGGGAGAGACTAGTGAGGTCAGTCAAGGTTTCGCTGGGTAAGGTTCTAGGCCGCAGTAGTCTGAATTTCGAAGAACTGACAACTGTCCTCACGGAGGTAGAAGCCGTAGTCAACTCCCGTCCGGTGACTTTCATTTCCACCGATGCAAAAGAACGAGAGGCTCTCACTCCAGCACACTTTCTGGTGGGACACAAATTGACCAGCCTTCCCTCCCATCAAATGCCAGAAGAAGATCAAGCAAGCCCCGAAAACTTGGCGCGAGGTTGGAAATATCGAAACACAGTTATGAATCAATTTTGGAGAAGATGGAGATCAGAATATTTGCTAGAACTGAGGTCAGCCCACATCGCTAAACCCAGCAATTCAAGCTGTATACAAACCGGTGACCTGGTCCTTCTCAAGGGCAATAGACTACCGCGACACATGTGGAAACTGTGCAGGGTCAACGAGACATTCCCAGGAAGGGACGGCAAGGTGCGGTCTTGCAGAATAATTACACCCAGTGGTCGTGAACTTTGCCAGCCGATACAGTTATTATATCCCCTGGAACTGTAAGAATGAGCTTGTGCTCATTTTCGGGGGAGTTTGTTGAATAATTAGTGCAAAAGAAGAAGAAGATGTAACAAGAAGATATAAAGACGACGACGAGAACGGAGGAATCGATGGTGACTCCGGCAGCAACTGGAACGAACATGTAAATATTGTACACAAACCCTTCCTTCTTAACGAACTCGCTACATTTAATCCTTTTAACGAAGAAAAGTAACAACGGGTGACGTCACGGCGAGGCAAATCCCAGTCGTGACGTCAAGGAGGGAAACCATCAGAGGGCGCCACCGAAACATCTCGGCGCTAATAACGTCGTTTCCAGATCGTGCCTATATTTTATATTTTTCCGTATTTCAGTTATGTTTCATGAACTTGAATTTAAACCTACACCCTGCAATAATGTCGGACGCTGATCCAGGTTTCTTTGTAAATAAACAAAAATCAATGTTCAACAGTAATAAACAAGATAATTTTTGGACGGTGAGACTCGAAATTATTTTGAGGCTGGTTATCAAAAACCACACACAAAATAATTGGAAAAACCGTACTGCTGTGCATTTACGTCTAAAATGTCTGACCTAAAAAAAAAAAAAAAAACTTCGAGTCATGGCTACAATGCTGTCATGTCGTCTCAGATCTCGTGAAATCTGTACTCTTAGTGCTCCAGCTGCTTTTTTGTCGTCCTCGGTTTTGCTTGTCAGTGCGTACGCGCCTTATTTTCGACGTTTAACCCTTCGGCATATTTATTTGTCCAGTCGGCGAGTTCACAGTTTAATTCATGATGCAAAAACATCTTTCTAACAACAACAAAGAAAGTTTTAAAAAGTGCGCGTTTTTTAGTGACTGCTGCGCCATTTATCGCGGACCGCCTTCCTTCGGGCGCACTTCCTCTGACCATGTATGGGACACGAGAGCGACGTCAGCGTTCGGAAAGTACGCGGATCCAATCAGGCGTTTCGTGCCCAAGAAATGGCAACCACGAATGTTGCTCGATGATGTTAAGAAAAGGGTTTTTTATCTGGTTTAGGAGAGCGTGATCCTAATTATGGCTAAGCCCTGTTTCCACTCCAACGATGAAACAATATCGAGGAATTATCCCTGTCGAAACAAAATCCAAGTCCGGAAAGCGAATTATCTTAGGGAAATTAAATTCACCCGAATGAAGACAAAAAAGACGAGTCTAAATTTGTCGAGCGGGGAATAAAATTACCGTGCCCCGAAATCCCGAAAAGACTGAAGATACCACTCTATCAACATATATAAATTCGTCCCGCTACTTATTTACGAGTACCTTCAACGCCGCGCTTTAGTACTGCCTGTTTTAATTAGAATGTTGCAAGGGGTGATAGCGAATTCATTATCATCCTTATAATTCAGCCCAGCTGAGCGAATTTAAAAATAATCCTTCGCTCGGGATAATATTAGAATTCTTTTATTTCTTTCGTGCTCGAGGTTCGGTTAATAATTTATAAGGAGCAAGTAAAATCCCACCGTGTCGAAATATTTTATTTATTCCACTCTCTGTCACTCTCCCACATCTCTCCACTTACGGTCTGGTGTCCTCCAATCATTCGTTCGTGTTTATTATCCTTTCCGGATCTTTTTTTTTTTTTTTTTTTTTTTTTTTTTTAATACCAGAAACTGCGTACGCCATTCCTGTTTTGCTTTGTCTTAAATTGACAAACAAGTCCAGTAGTACTTTGCGGGTCTTATATCGCTAGCGAAAATAGTATTAATATTTTAATAAATGTTTTCATTATCAGTGATACATGGCCGCACGCCGGTGTACGACGCTCGATTTGGATGAGCATCGTACCGGCGTGCGGTCGTGTATCACTACCTCGTGATGCACGTTAAAAACCCCAGGCTAGTGGTTGTACTGCGCTGGCTAAATTGTTCATCTATGGCTGAGACAGCAGGCGCCCATTGGAGCTGACTAAGTTCCGGGTGTATAAACATACACACGACACGATTATTATCAGTGAATGTTTTCATTTTCTAAAGAAAAAAAATAGCCGATGTTTCTCGAATTATTGAGGCCTCCTTCGGGATTTCGTTCGATTTCAACAGTCGCCTCGAGAACGATGATCGATCGCGATACTCTTTGCGACATTTCTTAATGTATTTTCGAAACAACCGCCACGTGACGCGATCCCCTATGACGTTGAATCCATGCTATGGTCACTGAAAGCAACAAAGGGTGTGGCCGGTTATGTTCACGCTTTTTGCCTCCTGATTGGCCGTTCTATGCTTTCCTATCTGGCAATGCCGCCATTTGATTGGCTGCGAACCGATAATAAGATGTACGGTACTCGCCGCGCCCTGTGTTTCTTGAGCTGTCGGTGAGTTTATGATGAATTTCATAAGCGTTCACGAATAATGCCGCTCACAAAAAGTCCGAAATCGAACTTTCAACTCGTCTTTACTACTTTGAATTAAGAACTCTTCCCTCGGCTTCGTGACCCTCTATAGGGGGTCATTGTGACAGATGAGTCTGGAGCTCTATCGATATCTTCTAGCAAATGGTGTTCGCACTGTGGTCTTCAAAATGGTTGTTGCGCATGAACGCGACAACGTCTCCAAAGGCGGCATACTCCCGCAACCGACGAACGGTTGCGGTTAAGTGTTCGCAGCTAGGCTTAGCGGGGTTTGCGGAACCTCTCCCGAACGTCATCTTCTGGATGTGAACCCGAGCGCCGGGGTCGGGGGATGTTCGTCCCCGTTTAGCCGTTGGGTGTCCGACGGTGGGCTTCGAACCAACCACCTCGGTAGCCGAGGCGGACGCTACGTGCCACTAGGCTACGGCTATGGTAATACATTTCAATGTTGTTGTTTTTTAATTCCACGTGAGGTTTTTGGGGTGTCTGTCTAAATACTGCTGGGCTTTTCTCCGGTGAGCTTAATTCCAGTGAAATTTCCTCCAGTGAGCTTTTCTCCGGGATTCGGGACCAATCACCACCGGTTTCGGACCGGCCTGGTGAAGAGGAATTACTTCCTCTTCACCAGGCCGGTCATAGCCGTCATCTGTGAAAGTACCTAAGAAATTCCGAATTGTCACTAAAGCGCGAAACACATGTACGACGAAACCGTCCGATCCAACGTCCGATCAGGCAATACGACGGTTGGAGGCGAGAACTTCAACGCACTTCGGTGCTACGAAAACCCTCGCCCCCGAAGGTCATTCCGGCAGTTCGCATGTCGGATTGGACGGTTTCGTCGAACATATTTTTCGCGCTTTAACTTTGGACTACTACGAATGTGTTGTTGTTCTTATGGTGTTGCCTCTGGCGTTTGGTGGCCTCATGGATTTGCGGGCACATCACACAGGCGTGTGTGCTGTGGGTGGTGCGATGCAACGATTTCTGTATTTTGCGCAAACACCGCTTAGAACGAATCCCTGACGTTAATGACCTATGAAACACACGTTCGTTTTTCACCTCACGCAATAGAAGTCGCAGATAAAAATTAAAGAAAGACGAGCAGCGTTCACGCCCTCAACTCGCAGCCAGAAGAAGTGGCCAAGTCATCTGGAGCCGATTATATGCCGCCAGTATTGATCATAGCCACACGCTGGGGATCGCAAAGCACAAGACACGCGCTGAGTTCCAGACATTGTTCTGGCTCGACTATTGTCGTCATTGTATCGATTGGACACCTGCCGGTATCCGAATGCTGCCCAAGCCATCAGGTATCACGAGCATTAATCGAATGTTCACGCAATGCTCGGGTCTAATCTATGTGCCGCATTCAAATATCGTCACTGGTGGGGGGGAGGAAGGGGGAGGGGGGTTGTATGGCGATTCCTCAGTTACGTCATCAAGTTTCGGGAAGGAGGGGTTGAATGAAAACGCTCGCTTTTGTCCTTGAAGTTACACCGCAACAAAGGAGTTTCTTGGCCAGTGCCCTTGCGGGCTAGTATCCGTGAGCCCCAGTAGTGCCAGCAAGCTCGTGTAAAGTGAAACACTTTTTAATTGAATATCCATACAACCGCCCCTTTAAATGTAGGCTTGGGCGAGTTGGCTATTCATGACTCAAAGGTAACAGCGCAAAAGATAACTCACACACTCAGAAAAAGAAACCACTAACGTCGCACTGACTATCAGCTCTCGTTTGTATTTTCGTATTCTTCCTTTACACCGATAAACAATAGAAAATAAAACCAAAAAGAGAAGAACCAAATATTGTTCTAACACTTCGTTGTTTTCTTTCCGCTGCTAAGTAAGACAATTCATCTTCTGCGTGGTATTTTGTACTCTTCTAAAGCATTTTAAAGTTTAACGCACGTGTTGCTTTCGAGTGGAGTTTAGGTATACCAACTCCTTCTCGTTTACTTCTTTATTTTCTTTTATTTCTATTTTTATTTTTATTGCTTTATTTTTATTTTTTATTGGTGTAAAGGAAGGCGACACAATATAAAGACGTTTACAATTATCTTCATTCCAAATTAGAGCGCAGCTGTTGAGGAGGAAGAGGGACGGCTACGGAGGGGAGGGTGTGCCCCTCCCCTCCCCTCCCATTTAGCGGGAAAGTTTCGCATGATTTACAGATAAATTAAGCGAAAATTTTCGCGCTAAATTAATTTTCTCCGCTAAATTTAACCATAAATTTTTTGCTAAATTTCATCTCTAAATTTAGTGGTGAAATATAGAGGAAAATGTTTCCCGCAAGATTTTGCGGGAAAATGTTTTGCTAAATTTTGCCGGAAAATTTCCCCGCTAAATTTAGAAAACAAAATTCCTACTAACTTTAGCGAAAAATTTTCTCGCCAAATTGAACGGGAAAATTTTACCCCTGTGGCGTCATTATGGGAAACGTCCCATAATGCTACGCGCGGTTACGCCGACGCTGATGCCGACGCCGACGCCGCTTAACCCGGAAACGGACGTCTATATGCGCTCTAAAATAATAACCAGACTTGATAGTCAGCGCGACGTGAGAGGTGCGTATGTGGTTTGATTATGTGAGTTACAATTTGTAGGTTATTTCTCAGTTTTGCGATGACGGGTTCGGTGATATCTTTAGAACGTCTCTGACAGCCC